TATCTACTAAATATTATAAACCTGCATTTCGAGAAAATGTACTTCATAAGGTATTTTGATAGTTTTGCAATTTTATTTAAAGTAAACAAATCATAAAACTAAATAAACAAGTCGCAAAAAAAACCAGTCACCATTTAATTTATAAGTTTAAAAAAGGTATTTCTAGTTCTCACTCATCATGTCAGATATTAAAACATGGTACCGTTCTCAGTTATTAGGGTGTGTGTTGTTATAGAAAAGCAGCATCAGGCTATCGACTGTGTCAACCGAGGGGAATCGAATCCCCTGATTTTAGTGTTGTAAATCCGATGTCCTACTTGGAGACGGCTATTAGGAGTAAGAAATTATAAACTAAATATTTGTTTATAGTGAAGCCACTAAGTCCGCCGTTCTAAATTTTGAGCTGACAACTAGTGGGAAGGCAACCTTCTGGCAGTACCCACCGCCGACTCTTGGGCTATTATTTACCAATGAATAATGGGATTGACCACTACTTCATATGCCTCCCCCCCCTCGAATGGGTGAACTGGCGAGCATGTTCGGCATAGGGTTTCGATCCTGCGCCCTCAAATTTCGAGTCGAACGCTCTAACCAATAGGCTATGTCAAGCCTTAAAAATTCATAACGATTTCACTTGCATGAAGCTCTCATACCACATTGGGTTTTGACACTAAACAGTAAAAGCTTTTGTCGTCTTATTTTGTATTTGTTTATTGTCACATTAAAAACGGATCTATGAACAAAATAATATTCGATGCATCATCACGTTAAAAAACAAATGTATAAATAAAAATAATATCCGGTGCATTATCAGCTTAAAAATGAGTGTATGTACAAAAGAATCTTCGGTGCATCATCATTAAAAAAAACAAATCTTCGCTAGCTTTTATAAACGTTTTGAAGGTGGAAGATATCTTTTAAAGTTTCTGTAGATGTATAAATTGCATACGTTATCTATGTCATATCAGTTACCGTTAAACGAGATTACTAACATTATCAGAACTTGTTTGAACTCATTTTCTCTTCCCAGAAACCATCCTTTTTTTTGGTAAGTTCGGATGTATATATAAAATAATAATTTAATTTCAAAATATATTACGAGGAAAAACTGTATAAACTTTCTTGTGATAATTAAGTAAACAACTCTTCGGTGTTAACTAAACACTTAAAGCACTAGTAATTTGATGTGCAGTAATATAAAAAGAATGCTTACATTGACCTAGGAGACACATTTTGGAGTATCATACAAAAATTATCCATGTAAAACATGACCTATCACATAAGTCTCTTACTGTTTGTTCAAATTCATAATATTATTTTAATGAGTCCTTGTTTGTTGAAGTTTTACGTGCATAATTCAAACGGTTATCAAGAGAAGCACACTCATGACTAAGAAGATTATTCAGAGAGACTTAAAGAATGATGGATGAGTTTAGAAAATCCGGAACGGTATAAAAAACACTCAATCTGTCTCTTGCTTTATCGATAACGCTATGTTGAACACCACGCAATGAATTTATTTAAAAATTGGTTTAATGATTTTAATTATGATCTCGTCAGGTGTAATCAAGAGATATCATTATTTAAAGTCAGTTTATATACGTAAGTAAGATGAAGATAAAAATTGCCAATGGTTTTAAGTTAGGTGTACACGTGAGAGCCGTTTACTGAAAGTCAGATTTTTCACACGAGAGTTTTAATCAAACGCACTTTAAGCTTTATTTCTCATTAACTAAACACTGACACGACAATGTGCATTACATGATTCTGATAATTTAAAAGAAGTGAAATCTATAGAGTGTTGCGTTTACTTTATTGTTTTTTTAAAGGTGAAATAATAAAAACAGTTAACAAGTTCATGCTTACTATATAGCAGTAAAAAAGCGTAGTAAGAAACTCATTTTGGAATCTCATAACTTATTATAACTATTTTGATAATTTTTAAAATATACTAATATTTCCATCTTTTTCTTTGTAGGAAATTAATGAAGATGAAGAAAACCACGTTGTTAACTTTTTGTGCAATTTTCTTTGTGCTGATGATCTCGTCCACAGCGACACCTGTGGGGCGAAAATCGAATTTCGAAACCATTGTCCGGAGGATTATGTCTAACATAAAAAATGAGATCAGAAGCTACGACAAGTATGGTCACCTTCAGGCAAACAGCATTTTGTCTAAAACCCCAAAGAAAGAAATCGATAGCGTTGAGGACGAGAATATATCAGATGAGGGTCTCACTGACTTTGAATATAACGAACTGAACGATATGCACGCCACAAAGCGGCAGTTTGATGATTACGGTCACATGAGGTTTGGAAGAAGTAATTACATGAATAGATATGACGACTATGGACATTTGCGCTTTGGAAAATGAATAACATAATGTTGTAAAACATATCTAATTACGTAAATCTGTTTGTTTTCTTGAGAAAAACCTGCACTGCGTAGACAAACGTATCTATCATCCAAAACTAAGTAAAAACAAGTTTCAATATGGCTATAGCAACTAATTATAACTACCTTGTACATGAATATAAATAGTTAAGTACAATAAAGTGTTGTTGTAAAATGGAATTGCCTACAACCTTTAAAGGAAACCCCACATAAGAACATGTTCAGAAAATAATACCAGGGCTGTAATTTGTTTTAAATATTTATTTACCATGTAAATATACTGATCAGCGTAGCTGTTCCTGATTCTAGTGCGTACAGTCCGTCCAATTTATTTTTGTGGGGCATAGCAAATCTAGAGTAATACATGATAGATAGACAAAAAAACCTTATTAAGCATATGTTCGACTTAAAAATCAAAATCAAATCTACTTATGATAGAGCATAAAGTTATTTTATCAAACATAACATGACACATAATAATGAAGAATATTAAGTATCTTATTAAAGAAATTTAAAAGTACAACTGTCGAAAGCGCTAGGATTTCATCATTTTTATAATGTTATTTATCAAACTATCGTTTACGGATTTACAACGCCTAAATCCGGGATTCGATTCTCCGCTGTGGATAATATATATATATATTACAGATGTCCCAATTTGACTTTAATCTAAAACAAACCAAACTTTTCTATCGTACTATCATAAGCTATTGAAAAAAATACTATAATTAATACTGTTTTCAGATAGTGTCTATTCTGTTGATTCACTGCGATTAAGAAAATACATATAGCATCTTAAGATATAAATGTTGTACACTATAAACAGCAGCTTTGGACATTTCACCCATTCCTTGACAAAATCAATTCATCAATCACCCAAATATTTTATCCCGTGTGCTTCTCTTTCAATTTGTCTCACTAGAGGACACTAATCAGGCTACCAGACGTGTAATTTCTTCTTGTTGACAAAATATCAATAATAAAATATAAAGTAAATAAAATTTAAAACAAGGCCATTTTTCACGTAGTATCTAAAATTTGACAACTACACGTATATGAAAAAGGATGTCTTTGAGAAAACCTATCAACAATTTTTTGATACGACAGACACATTTAATATTCTTATTCTAATTTGTCCGGATTTCACACTAATACAGCGCCATCTTTAGTTGGTTACGTTCATATTTTTTTATAAGAGGACAAAAATAAAGTCAAACCAGATTTGTTAATTTTATTCTAAATTAAAACATTTTATGAGTATTTAAGGGAGAGGCATATCTTTGATTTGTTAGAAGACGAAATTTCAACCTCATTTCTATTTTTGGCAGGCTTTGATAATAACAGAAAAAATGTACCAAATCATCTCGTTGTAAATGTAGATATAGAGAAGGATGCTCTAACACAGTGGTCCCCAATAGGCTGCGTGCGGGCCGAATAAGGCTCTCGAAAGCCCCATTCGTGGCCACAACTATGATCAAACATTGTAAAAGTAAGCGAATCTCTATTTGTAGAATGATGTGTTCCTCAACAAGCTCAGGTCCGGCCCTTGGCTTTATGGTCATCATTTGATTGTTTGTTTGTTGAATTGTGCGCAAAGGTATTCGAAGGGTATCTAAACTAGTTATCTAATAATTCTGAAGTGATAAACTAGAAGGAAATCAGCTAGTCAACACCACCCACTGCCAAGTCTTGGGCTACTCTTTACCGACGAACATTGGGATTGATCTTCACATAATAACGACCTCACAGCTGAAATGGCGAGCATCGTCGGTGACGGGATTAAAACCTACAGATTAAGAGTTAAGTGCTCTAACCAACAGACCATGTTGGGCTCATCATCACCTGAAGCGTCCCAATAGAGAAAATAGCTGGGGACCACTGCTCTAAGATGTTCAAAGGGACCATTACTTTCATCTTTTCTACAAGGAGAAGAGGGTAGTCAACATTATATTAAGAGGAGACAAGCAGAGACCAAAGTCACACCAACAACAATGGATCGTGGTTCTTCATGGATGTTGGTAATAGAGTTATTAAGCTACTTTTAACAATAAATTTGACGAAAAAAAGGAGAAAAGCGCTGATAGAGTACCTACATGAAAATACTACAGAGTAAGAAAAATAAAATAGTTACAGAACATAGAATTTATATATACATTCAAAGTAAAAAAGTTGTGAAAAGTTAGTTTAATTGATTAGTTGATTGGTAACACAAATTTAGTGACGAAATAGAATCTCACGACGAAATATCGCTGCAGTGATGCATAATATATGTTCTGGCTCCGGTAAAAAGATGATGAATAAGGATTTAAAGTTAACGAAATTTCAGAAGCTTCTAGTCACACCTCAAAAGAAGAGAAAGATAGCTGAAGAAACTGGAATTACAGCGGCCTTACTAAATTTCATATCTGGCAGATTCCAAGGTGTGGCTTCCAATTAATTCTCGTACCTATGTTCCGTTTAAAAGCTTCTTGGAAATCGACGCCTAAGAACATTGTAGGGCCTGAGGGAATTTTTAAAGATGGTCTAAGATTGGTCTATATCCATTTACCATAAGCTTGTTGTGATAAGAACTGTGGTATGAGGCAATAGGGCTTAATCATGGCCTCAGACTGAGCATGATCAACGAAAAGAAAAGTATTTCCAAGTGCAGCAGAGAAGTTGAGAACCTTGTTTTTATACAATGTGACTGATCTTAATACATCTTATTAGATGTGATGACCAGCTCCTTTATGAGTGTATTTTTTCTTTTAGTAATGTAACGTTATGTTATTGTATTTTCGATTTGTCCTTGCCCAGAGTTATTGATGAGGCGGTGAAATTCAACGAAACCACTACATCTCAATGACAAGAGGTAATTCAAATGATAGATTGAGTTTCATATTTGTTTATAGTATCTTAAACTGAATGTACATATATCGCCTTTGAAAAACTATCATAGGCTTACGCGAACATGTTAATCGAACAACACCCTGATCATACTGAAACCGAAACAGATTGTTCTGGGTTATTGTTGCCATAGATACTACATACACTTATATATGGCATTTAATACTATTTAGGGCCCATTAAAACATCCAAACAAAATATAACTTCTTTTTCGTACATTACCCCTTTTTAAAGTTCTAACTGGTTAGATAACCTACTATCTGGTTCCGTTGTTTCTTTTCGAGGTCGAGTCCAACATGCTTTACGTGCTATTTAACCACAACATTTGAACTAGTTGACTGTCCGCGGAATTACAGCGCTAGAAACCGGGTTTTGATACCCGTGGTGGGCAGAGCATAGATATCCAAATGTGTAGCTTTGTGTTTAGTTACAAACAACCTGTCCGCGGAATTACCGTACAAACGAATCACATCTGACGTACAAGAACACTTAGTGAGCTAATTCAGATTTTATAATATTTAGTAGATATCACCGAACTAAAGGATCACATCCAACTGTTGTAGAAGAAAACGTAGCTAGCGAAATAATGTAGGTTTATAATATTTAGTCGATATCACCGAACTAAAGGATCACATCCAGCTGTTGTAGAAGAAAACGTAGCTAGCGAAATAATGTCAGGTTTATAATATTTAGTCGATATCACCGAACTAAAGGATCACATCCAGCTGTTGTAGAAGAAAACGTAGCTAACGAAATGGAATGAAGATTTAAAAAAAGTCATTTTTTACATATAGG